GATCTATAGGTCAAGTAGCTTTATGTCAATGACACAGTTGGCATATGATAGTTCCTAATGTCTTTGCTAGGTCAGTGTTTTATTGAATGCACAAAATAAGAATAGGCAAGGATTGTTGTTTTGAAAAGTCCGTCTGTTTTTTGCTGTATTTAAAAGCCCTTGTCAAGGTACCTCCTCCATGCTGACAGTAACGAGAATAGGGCACTGTCTTTTTAATTCTTTCAGTTCTCTTTTGAACAGCTTCACCACCTCTCCCATCGTGTTGTCTTTGCAATTTTGTGCCACTTCAGTGACGATGAAGACATTTTTTTGTATTGTTCTGTACATGCATTTGAGGCAGGCCTTAAAGCTGGTTGGGTGGATGGAGGAAAATAAAGTGAGGCAGAATGAGTTTTAAGCGCTGGCTTGTTCTTCCTACGGCTGGCTTCAAGGCCAGGGAAGGCTGAAATGCAAACAAGAGTTTGCATGGCTTGAGCCACTGACTCTCTGAGGTCTCGGGAGCTGTTCGGATAACCTCAGCTGTCTGAATTTGTATGTTTATTCCCACTTGGTCTGCCAGCACTTGAACTGGTTGTTACTTCTCAAACTTGCCCAAAGAATAACATCAAGTCTGGTGTTCATTTTGTCATCACGTGTTCCACCTTGTACACGGATACTCTTGGATCTGACCTGAAGGAAATACAAGGTACAGTGTGTCTTTTGTTCCTGTCCTAAAGGCAAACCTAAAAGCTGGTCCATTGGCACAGACCTTCCATGCTTGCCCTGATACTGCTCATCAGCCTATATACTATATGCTCAGGGATGTAGGAAACCACCACTTTGCTCGTGTTTTAAATCGGGAAGAAACGAGACTGTTTTATGAATGTTAGTGTTAACTTGGGCATTATGTTAGACGAGACCCTGCTTCAAAAAGGCTGCTCGAAGCTCCAGATGGTGAAATCAGCGTTTGCTCAGCAGTATGTACTTAGTTCAAGTCGAGGTGGTTAGGAAATCCAACAGATCTGGTAAATTAGTGATCCAGCCACCGGGCCCTCTGGAGCCGGTGCCCAGGTTCAGGGCCGTGTGGCACAGCAAGTTCCCAGAAACACAGTATGGATCTGTTTTTAATTTGTTAATTTTTTTGTTCCTCAACCACTTTATAATGTATTTTTTTAATTTATTATTTTGTAATGTCATGTTTAAGTATTGCTGCTATCCTTGTTATTCTTCCCACTGTTTTTATTGCAGATTTATTTTGTGAAAGTTGTACACTAATGTTTCATTTTATGTCTAAATCAAAGTATTTAAAGAAAAACTAGTTCTATTTAATGTGGTTATGGAACCAGCTGGAATAAGCAGTGATTGTATAGTAGGCTGGACCCAGGAGGTCATGTTCATTTTTGTTACATATGCAATAAACTCACAACTTTAAACTCTTGGTATCCGCCACTTTGTTAAAATATTTATGGAAGTCACAGGAAAATTGATATGCTCATAATTAAAGAGTGTGGCAGTGCTGTGCTTAGCTTAGCTGGAGATGGGGGTGGAGGATAAAGGCAGCAACAACAGAAAAATATTGCTGTCATTAAAAATTCTGTAGTATTATGAAATACTGAGTAAGATTTAAAAAAAAAAAATCATTTGTTTGACAGGCGCAGAGTTCAGTGTGATGAAGCTGTCCTGGTGTTAGCAGTGTCTCATGAATATTGAGCATCGGTGCTTTCTTGCAAAACTGGCTCACGCTGATCTGAGTCCCAGCACCTCTGCAGCGGGATTGTGGTTGTGGTAGCTAACTCGGTGGGCAAGGAATGGAAATGCAATGGATTTAACAGATTTTTATGGGCTGCCCAGACAGAAGCCCTCCTTTCCAAGTAGAACACTTTGTTTCATTCATTCTTTAACTGATTAATTACCAGCCTTAATATTTTTCCCTTCTTACCTTATTATTTGTTTTGTTATTTTTCCGAAACCTCAGTTTTCAGGAGAGAAATGACAATCCCCCTCCTTAATGAGAGTTGGAGAAAGATTCATTAATACTGATGAATCTCTGCTTTCCTGTTTGTTTGTTTTTCTAATTAGTAGTGTTTTGCAAGTGGAGAAAGATGGGTATGAGTCTCAGGACGGTGCTGGCAGCGACCATTCAGTGCTCAGTATTGGTCGGTGCTGCAGCAGAGCCTTCCCTCTCTAAAGCTGAAAGCTAGGAGTTCTTTAATCTGTGCATATTTGGGGTTTGGTTTTTTTTAGGAAAAAAAAAAGGGGGGGAGGGGACACAATGTTGGTTTTTATTCTTTGAGTAACTTCAAAATGTGATCAAAGGCTCTAACGTACAATGAGCCAGCGACTGGGGAGCTGGTTTCACCCAGCCCCTTGTTTCAGCCAGCAGCAGGGATGAGCAACTTCTGCTCGGTGGCTGGGAGCAGGAAACGCTGTCAGTCCTTCAGTGCCCTGTCAAACGCTGCTCCTGCTTTGTGTGTTGTTTAATCAATACTTTTTGGGAAGTGTTCCTGATTTCTGGTACCCTTTTCGTATGCAGACATAACAAAGAGAAAAGAGGATTCCGGTAGCCTGCTCCAGTGGATGTGGTATGCTGTAGGACATCTGCACTATGTGAACTTTTTGAAGACATGATAAAAAATTAATATTTCTCTGAAGAAATCTTATAGAGCTCAAATAATTGACTGTCTCTGTTATGGAAGCTTGGCAGGTCAATTAAATTCTTCAAGTTAAATTTTCCAGTCTCTGCCTCTTTCTGCAGGAGGTACAAAGCCAGACTATGAGCAGGAGCCCTGGTCTTGCAGTGGCAATTTCTTTGCTGATTTATGATGATGCTCCTGTGTCCTGGGCAGTCTGCCTGCTTGGGGAAAGACAGCCCCTGCCCACCAGCATGTACTTTAAAAAGACATGGCAGAATGGGTTTTAATTCACAAGCAAACCTCTTTATATTTTCTGTTGGTGCTTTACAGTTTGATGCCTAGCTAAACCCTCCCTCTCGCTTCCCTTTTCAGCCTTCCTTCACGCGTGGTTTAGGGTAAAACTAAAATCCCAAAGCTTTGCCAATAAATAATCACAGGTGAAATCCTTTCAGGTGTGGTGGGGCATGGAGGGCAGGAGGAGAGGATGCTGCCTCTTTCTGACCATGCTAATTTGAAACAAGATCAAACAAGATGAGAAGGGGGTTATAAATGTATATAACCCCCTTCTGCAGTCTCACAGCTACTTGATGGATGGACGATGCAAACAACGCCCACCTGTCCTGCGGACCCTCTCCCAGCCTTGGCCACAGGATTATTTCATTGCTTATATCCCTCTAGAGAATAAGAGCCCCTGACGTGGGACCGGGACGCTGCTGTGTTGCACAGACATGCAATAAAACAAAATCTGCCCAGAGAGCTCACGGCTGGATGTAAGATGATGGGAAGGAGGTTAGGCACCAGCAGGCTGAGAAGGACAGATGTTTTCTTGCATCACAACCTGGCTTTTATGGCCTGCAGAAGAGGGGTGTTTCAGGGGCGGGTAAGCGTGGCTTTGCAGATGGCTGCGGGAGAGTCGTGCCAAGTTTGCTGATTTCTGTCCCAGATCCAGAAGCAGTTGGCACTTGAAACGGAGGTCAGGCTGTGGCTGGAAACCATATGGCTGAGTCGCAGCGGTCCCTGTGGAGGGAGCAGGGAGAGAAATGTTCTGGAGGGCCGGGGAGACCCTGGCACTGGTCGTGGTATTTGGCCAGGTTTTAGGACAAGATCTGCGAGAGAAACCTGGGCATGGTGATGGAAAAGATAAGCAAGCAACGTGAGTCTTGCTGGTCCAAACTGGTCTCTTTTACAGAGATAACCCCAGTCAGAGAGCTAGCATACACTGCATCTTCCTGGGCTGGTGTAAAGCATTTGGTCTGGGAGATTTTGAAATTAAATTTTAATTGGATGCTGATTAAATGAGTCCAGCTGCCTCCCCCGATTCTGGTCTTGGACACAGCCAGGCAAGACCTGTCCTCAAAGTCCCGCAGGAGTTGGGTCTGGGACCTCCCAAAGGGACCTCCAAAGGGCTGGTGATGCTCCGCTCGCGCAGCTTTTCCTGAACGTGCCGAGGACGTGCGAGACTGACGTTTTGTATTTTGGTATGGATCTAGAAGGGGTGGGGGCGGTGACATGTCTGCACAACGTGGATCTGCGCTGGATGCTCCGATGGGCAGATCCATTTGGTCTGGCTCCACAGGAGAGTAGCAAGCAAAGGTCCTTTATCCGAAGGGACTGATCCCTGCTGTCTGACGTGGGCTGCGTTTACTGTCACCGGGTGCCTGTACTGTCCTTTGATGTGGCCTCGTGTTTGGGCATTGGGAGGGCCAGGGCTGACCCCCTGCAGCACCAGCTCCTGCAGCCGTGGGTGGGCTGAGCCCAGCTCCTGCCTGAGCCCCTGCCACCTCCTGGCACTGCCCCATCGCGGGGTCCCCACCTGAGACAGCCGCTGGCCGAGAGGGAAATGCGACGTCCTGGGTGGCTCCATGTCACTCACTCCACTTCCACGAGCACCGATGGCCGCAGGGCGGGGTGGGGGTGGGGTGGGGTGGTGATGACAGGGTGGGGTCCCCCAGCACCCATGTGCATTGCTCAGAGCGGGGACCCCCCGCCCCGGGGCTCCTTATGCCTTTGCTTTTTGGTGGAAATGCAAGAGGATTTCCCCCACTTCCCAGGCACTGAACTTTCATCCCACTTTTGCAGGATGGGGGAGATGATGGTGGCACGTGGGCAGCGTGGGAGGACGGTCTGCAGGGAGCCCTCGGCAAATGGCTCATCTCAAAGAGTTTGGCTCAAATGATCTGGAAAAGCGGTTTCCAGAGGACTTGCAGTGGGAGCCCAGAGCCCCAGTTCCCTCTGGGAAATTGTTTTTGGGGCTAACCTGGCAATAAACTAGTTTTCATTAGAGCTCCCATATAAAAACTTAACTGTGAGAGAGGCGTTTAGCAAAAGGCTCAGGGCGAGTTCAGTGATCGGCACCGCCGTGCCGCAGGGGAGCCGCCTTTTATCCTTTTATTTATTACTGTATTCAATATCTCTTACTGGCCTCACACAGGCGGCAACAGCACCATGTTCCCCGCAGAAGGGCTTAACCTGATGGCACACTGGCATGCAACATGGGCACCCATCTCTCACAGGGAGCACCCGTCCTCTCCAGAGCCCCCCAGGAGCCGGGCGATGGCTGAGGGGACAGCAGGGCTCGGGGGCAGGCAGGGTCTTGGGAGCCCGGTGCTGGCTCTGCAGGTACTTGCTGTAATTTTTGGAGAGCAGCATGTAGAGGAAGGGGTTGAGGCAGCTGTTGCTGTAGGCCAGGCAGGTCACGAGGAAGTTGATGGAGATGACAGCAGTGCCACCCCGCTTCCCCTGCTCGTACCAAGAGATGCTGAAGAGCTGCCACAGCTGGAAGGGCAGGAAGCGAGCACGATGCTGAAGATCATACACAGGACTTTCTCCTTGGGACATCGGCTGGTTTCCTTGCTGCTGAGAACAAGAGCCCGCTGGGACCTCCAGTACGTCCTAACCAGCTTGGTGTACAAGCAGCAGATGATGATGTCTGGGGCGAGGTGATGAAGAGGATGGTGAGGCCCCATCTGCCAGGTGGGGTGGCACATGCGCTTGGTCACTCCGTCTCGGTGGCTGGTGTGCAGGTCCATGAGGATCATGGTGGGGAGGGTGAGGAGGAAGGCCACCCGCCACACCAGGCAGGTGACTGCCCGCCAGTGGTCCCTTGACCTGTGTAGGGTGTCCAGAGGCCTGATGACAGCCAGGTAGCGCTCGGTGCTCATGATGGTGAGGATGAAGATGCTGTTGTGCATGGTGAGGAGATCGAGGCTGAAGAGGATCCTGCAGCCCAAGTCTCCGAAGTACCAGTCCTGCACGAAGTACGTGCAGACCACGAAGGGAACGGTGGGTAAGTACAGATCGGCCAGGGCTGAGGTGACAACGTACACATACGTGGAGACAGTGTGCTTCGTGGAGACAGTGGTGACCACCAGCATGCAGATGTTTCCCACCACCCCAACCCCACACATGGTGGCCAGGATGCAGCAGAGGAAGGAGGTGACCAAGAGGTCCTTTGCGCTTTTGGAAGAGCTATTTGTCTGGGTGGTGGCACTTCTGGGGTGGCAGCGCACCGAGATGCACATGCTCAGCTCCATCCTCCCTCGCCGAGAGCCGCCCCAGGGAGATCTTCTGGTGGGCCGGCAGCGGGACGGGGCGGCAGCAGCGGCAGCAGCTCTCTGCTTGGGATGCCAGGATGCCCCAGCTGCCCACCAACCCTTCCCACTGCCCCTGGGCACCTGCCCCGCTCCTCCCACAACGTGCATTACTGCAGAGAGATCATTTTCTATGAGATTTCTATGACCTGCCCCCCCATGGCAGAGCCCCCCCCACCCCTAGGAAACACGTGCAGCTCTTCACCCCGTCTGATTACCCCTAGCGCTTTTTCCTTTTTCTTCCTTAATTTACTGAGTGCTAAATCCAAATATTACAACTTCCCCTCCGCACCGCTGGTTACGCAGGCGGCCCCCGGCCGGGCATTGTCTTATTGTTTGCAGAGGGAAGCTCCAGCGGGAGATTAACCTGGCGTTCACCCCGCGCCGCGGCTTCACACCCTGTCCCTGCCGCCGGGGCCCGCGTCCCTGGGGACCGTGGCCGGCACGGGGTCCTGGCAGAGCGAGCAGCTCCGAGGGGTCCGGTGCATGGAGGGACACAGCGGGGTGGTGGCACCGGGGTGCCTGGCAGCACGGGTGCCCACGGAGTGCTTGGCGTGGGGCTCAGCGGCTGCAGGGTCACTGCTGGCCGCGGTGGGGTGGCGAGGAGCTGGCGGGTGTCCTGGGGGTCTCAAGCAGACCCTTTGCCCCGTTCCTTCCCCAGGGACCCTGGCAGGGTGACGGCAGGGTCAAGTACGGTCTGTGTCTGCCGGCACGGAGAGGCAGGGGGGGGCCCGGCCCCCCCCGGGGGGGGGGGGGGGGCACCCAGGGGCACTTCCCGGCGCTGCGCCCCGCCGGCTCCCTTCACCGGCTCCTTTCAGGTTCCCCGGGCTGCGTGTTTGTACTCGGGAGGAAACACAGCGTGGGCCGCGGAGCTGGCGGGGCCGGGCGGGTGTAAGGTTGTTCTCCGCTTCGGACCCTCCTCGTCTTGTGGAAACACCGGGTGCCGTTGGGACAGCTTGACATTTAGGGCATCTGCGGTGGGAGCTGCTGCAGAAAAGAAACCCAAAACAGCTGTCCCTCAACAGAGTTGAGGGATCCGTGTAAGAGATACTCCTCCTCCTCCTCTTCCCCCTCTCTCTATCGGTTTGAGTGCTAGCTCGGCTTGGTGGGAGAGAGCAAAGGCTGGAAGCGCTAATGGCCGCGGTGTTTATATAACGGAGGTGTCCGATGGGTGCTCCTGCCTCAGGAGCTCCGCTCGTTCCCCCAAACAGCTGGAGGAGAGTCAGGTTTTCACGCAAAGTATTCGGAGAGCAAAGAGTTGTAGCTAACTCCGGTGTGTGCACGTGAAGAGCGGAGCCTGAGCTCACCCAGGCAGCGCTCCCACACGTCGCTTTGGGGTGGGCAAAATGTAGGTCGGCTTAAAAAGTCGCCGTCGTCTCGCGGATCCGCTGGCTTTGCAGCTGCGCTCGCTGGAAGCCCTGTGCGGCTTGTTGGGTGGATAACGGCCCCGTGCACCTGAGTCTGGCCTGGGAGGTTTTTCTTTCTATCTCACCTTCGATTTATGACCTGAAGCGTTGTCTTTGAATGTCTTGTAATACCTTATCTTAGAGTCTTGTTGAAAAATACTTATACCAGAAGCGTAGCTTTCATATGAGTAAGTTTAGTTGTCCGTGTTTCTGTTCAGCTTCCTTACTGCTCATCAAGCAAGGTTCAGTTTGTCACATGAAGCGTTATGGTTCCGTCACTGGTTTGAGGCCTCTGATGCTTTTTAAAAAAGAAAAGCTGATGTTGCTGCTGTGCACTTTTATTTCCATTATCGAGGCATTACGCTGAGGAACTACAGCTTGGTTGTCTGCGTGTTTTCACAGCATCTCTTCTTGTGTGTGTTTTTTTTTTTTTCCAGCTTACTGACTGCTATGCAGGACATCAGACTCTTCTTGCTTTATTTCGGGCAGCAATCCTAAAAGCAGTAGCTAATTGCCTTGGTGGCTGACAGGCACAGGCAGCATTAGTGCTAAGACCTATGAGCAGATCCTCGTTTCTCTCTTCTGCTCTGTGGTGGTTGGTTCCTCTTTCTTACAATTTCTGCTATCTCGGTTGATGTACTTTGGAGCTGTTGCAGGTTTCCAGCAGTAGCAATGGAGGAGAAGGCAGGCGTCCCTGATCAGGTGGGTAGGCTGGACTTTGTATGCTCAGCTATAAAGTGGCCTCCTCCTGCTTCCAGGGAGGATGGCATAAGAGCTTTTTGGCTCCAGCAACCTGTTTGGAAGGTGAAGGGGAATGTTGGAGACCCATCGCTCTGCAGACCCAAATCTTGAGCAGGTTCTGGTATGTCCCTGTACAGGTTGCGTGCCGTAGGAGCGTGCAGCACAAACCATATGGTGGGACCCGTTTTCTTTAGGACTAGTAGAATTGCAGGGACAGCTTTTAATTACAGAACTGTGGGATTTACAGCTTTAATCTGAGCTTTTCGTTTCTAGGACGAATGCTGTGCAAAAATTCCACTGCCTTACATCAGGCCTTTCCATATTGTAAACATGTTAATAGATTTCATGTGCTGGGTGTCTGTACGGTGTGACTAAATGTTAATAAACAACCATTTTGACAGGAGTTTGTGCCTAGAATACCAACACTTGGGACAGGACTCAGACCTACTTCCTGAAGAAGATCTGTAGAGACATTTAGCCCGCTTGGTAGTGCTGCATTTTGGTAACAGGCCTTCTTCCATCTCTTCTTCTTTCCGTCCTAGGGTGTTTTCCTGTCGGCCTGGCTGCAGGCATCCTTCTTGGGCAGCTGCGTAAGTCAGGGCACGAATAACAGTTCCTGGAAGAGTGGTTGGGGCAGGCTTTACTGATGATAAGGTACATTCTGGTTTCCAGCAGGGTGCTGGCAGCCTGTTCCTGGGCTTGTGTTTCAGAAGCTGCCTCGGAAGTCCAAATTCCTGGGTAGACCAATGCTTTGTCTGCCTGAGAATGCAGTGGGCGTTACTGCCGCCGGCGAGCTACGGTCGCTGGCAGCGTGGCTTATGCTTTGAAATTGGACACAAATCGCTAAAAAGTCCTGTGGCAAAAATAGGTGGAGCGAGCACGCAACTCCGGCGACTTCGGCGCAGCTGGAGAGAGGCAGGAAGCGTATCTCGGGGGACAGGAGCTAATTAGCAAACCGGAGTAGCACAAACCCAAGCGTGAGAGATGTGGAGCCCTTTGGGTGTTTTTAGTGCCTGCTGGAAGAAGCTCCCATTCATTAATTTGGAATGGGTGTCTTATTTTTATTTATTTCTTTTTAAAGTCATTGTAAGTGGTTTACTGTGTCATAGCGCCGGCAGCTCGGCGCGGCAATGGGCGTCAGGGCTTGCCACCGGCTGCATTCTTTTCAGGACAGTCAGAACTGTGCCGCTAATTCCTCTCGTCAGAAGCTAGGGGTTTTTTTTGCACGTAGCTTTAGTCTGGAGATATTTTAAGTCTCCGTTTAAATTATTGAATTCAGACATCTTCTTAACTACTTAAAGGAGAGGCACTAATAGTCTCAGAAGTCTGTGTGTGCACTAGAATAATAGTGTTGTGTATCGCATGCCTTGGTGGATGGGTGGGCTTTTCAAGCTGCTACGTGTAACTTCAACAGCTCTCAGTAGGATCTGTCCCCGATGGGGTAGGTGCCTTTTTTTAATACAGTGCACAGTGGAAGGTGTGAAACATGCAGCTGGTTCAGGACACTAGCTATCTTCCAGCAGCAGCCCGGGAGATAAGGTTATCTGTGTGCCGATGTGGTAGTTGCTGTGTTTGAAATGGAGCTAAATAACGTGCTGATCAGCACTGGTCTCACGAGAAGTAGAGTAGTTTTGTTTTAGGCAGGTTACTGGGACGGGGAAGTCTGGGCAATTGGGGAGGGGTAGGCAGGGAGAACAGGAAAGAGGAAAAAAAAGACACTTACAGTGTCCTGGTGGCTTGAATAAGTTATCCTGGCCAAAGCACTGAGACGTGAGATAATAAGGAATGTTTTACTGAGCTGGGATAGTCTCGCTCTCAGCAGCCTTCATGTTGCTTTTATAGCATCCTAGATTTATTTTGGAATATCTCAGGAGTGATGTTTTTCCTCTGGGTCAGTGCTTAAGAGCTTGCGGTCGTTTTAAATTCGTAACTATCCTTGAGAAAGCTTAATTCCTCAGGACTAGAAATCATATTCCTGCTTTTTCACCTTTCTCCTAATTACCAGCGCTGCTGTGGTTCCTTCCCCGTGTTTGTGAGGGGAACTGTCGGTGTCTGATTAAGTGGAAAAAGCACTGGGCTTTGGGAAGGATTTCAACACGGGGCAGCTGCTACCCTGAGTCATGATGCCATCTCGCAGTGTTTCTGACCCAGGTCAGGGGAAACTTAAATTAAGCGTGGCTTCCTCGCTGGCTTTGGGGGAGCCCGACTCCTTTGCTGATGCCGACAGTGCCTGTCTGTTCACAGGGTGACTTTTGGAGGCTGTTGTTGTCACTTGTAACGAGAAGCAAAGTTGATGAGCTGAAATAAATCTGGGAGTGTATGTAGGTGTCAGGGTGACCTGAAATGTTTTCAGTTGGCTTCTGAGGACAAGTGCTATATTGCTCACACTCAGTCTGCTTACCTCTGTAAGAAGGCCAAGGTACTGTTTACATTGTTTAGATAAACATTTGGACAAGATCTGTAGAGGCATCATGTGATATTACTCTGTAGTATAAGGTGATCAGGATTTGTACTAGCTAGAATCTTTGGTTGGGGCATATAAGGAAGTAAAATGGCCTCAAGTAATGTCCTTTGTCTAAAGCACTTCTCACACAAGGCTCCTGTATAGCTTTGTCAATACTGACGTGCTCTTACCAAGCTGCGGGCACTGTTATTGCCGTTTCTCCATTGGAGAAAGGAAGATGGCGGTTGGCTTTTTGCAGCCTTTGCAAAACCAGAGTTAGGAATAGATGTACACTTCTACTTCCAAGCACCATCCCGAAGACGTGATGCATTTTTATATTTGATGGAGAGGGG